ATTCGTTCATTCGTTCATTCGTTCATTCGTTCATTCGTTCATTCGTTCATTCGTTCATTCGTTCATTCGTTCATTCGTTCATTCGTTCATCGCTCCCCCTTCTCGAAAGCGAAACCCGCATCTTCCCATTCCTCTCTCCCCAGACCCTCGAGAAACCCCGGCAGGTGGAGATACGGTGGAGCATTTTCCCAAGCCAGCCACTCGATGGGCCAAGAGTCCGTTGCCGCCACGACTGTGGACAAGCGACGCGCTGATGCGTCTGTCCTATGCCCGCGGCGTCACCGCACTACACTATTTCCATCGTATTTTGCTACGATCATTCTTCTCGTGCATGTAATGCCGGATCTGTTTATCCCCAGTCTGTTTCAGAGAGGCGCACTGCCATCCAGTCCCTTTTCGGGGCAAAGACAGGAGCGGCTTGCCAACCCGAGCGCCCCGGGCTAGCCGCTTGTCACAAACTGCCGCCCAAACCCGTAATCGTCTTTTATTATTAACCGGTTGATATGGAACTTGTCCAGGCCCATCTACGCAGTATGTACCTACATGTACCGATGCAGACCAATGAACTGAATGGAAATGGTGCACTTCGTACGAAGGACGGACCACGTGGTGGGACATAGCGACTAATACCTCCTGCTGAGCACTTCCATGAGACATAATCAGCTTTGCTGACTCTGCAAAGAAAAAAAAAAAAAAAAGAAAAAAAAACCCCCCCGAACCAAAAGAAGGGGAAAACAATGCCGATTCTTCGGCTGGGAGGCATCCATCTTCACGGAGTGGCAGGCGCATACGAGTTGTTGTCTTGATTCCACACCCTTGACTAAGCGAATACGGGACACCAAGCTGTATTTAATAATGTCCTGCCCGTCCTCTGACTGGCCGATCGTCTATTCCTGGGGTAGGTAAGCCACATCCGTGCATTCTCCGGACATATGGGGGCACCCGCGGCCCAGAATGTTGTACATGTGCCTGCGTAATCCGGGAACCTATTTATTGGTTGGAAGGTCTTAACAACTGGATGAGACGGCGAAAAGAAGACATGCGGTAACGGAGTATTACGATGTATCTGCGGGAGCTCGTCTGTGATGAGATCCGTGCTTATCCGTACCTAGATCCCGTCGGGACGAATAAATACTTCGTACATTTGACTTAACAGTCCTGATCTGGATGTTCTCCCTATTCCCAAAAGCTTCTCCTCTGACGAACTATGGATTTCTTTCGATAATCCTGTTACTTGCATCATTAGTTACTCCTCAGCACCAAGATACTGTGAGACCACCCGCTGCATTTCCGGCGTCGCTGGAACCCGAGTCTTGTCCTAGCCTCCTAGGTCTCTCGCAGATTCACGAGGTCATTCGTCCCGATCGACTTTTCTTCTTCTGGGAATAACCTAAAAGACCTCCATCAGCTTGGGTGGCCTGGCCTGTCGGTACGGTGCGGTTTACGAGAGAGTAATTCAGACCAAGAACACCAGGTGAGTGTATAGACTTGTCTATCGGACGCAAAGCTGTGTAAGTCGTACCCAGCCTTAACCTTGGCCCTTGGCATATGCGTACATTACGAGTCGATGAGGAAGAGATGCCCGAGTCATTCATTCTCGCCCGGGGCGTTGTCACTTCTCTTCTCTTTGGGGCCCGCACTAACAAGACTTGAACTCGTTACTCAGTACCGCCAGATTACGTCTTCCACCATTGACCGCTATTGGAAGCCGAGAATACAAAGCGGCGTGTTTTCTGCTGGTTGCATCTAGATCGGTTTACTTTAACCTTACTCATCCCCGTTTGTTCCACGGATGCTTTGTTATTACAGGCGACCTAAGTTCCGTTTGGATTCCTCCCTTTCATCTTCTATATCTCATACTCTCCTTTATCAACATATCCCGCCATTCTTGAGCGCCTCGCCTCCTCTCTTCCTCCTTCCTCTTCGCCATCTTTCTCGTCGCGGTTTCACTCTCGGACTCACATCGCCTCATCGACATCTCATTCTTCCTGGAAACGCGTCAACATTCCTCCGAATTCGAGCATCCGAAGAATCCGAGACACCCAACTGCGGCTCCTCTCCCCTAGGTACCCATTGATCCCGCCCGATACGCTCACCGGAGATGAGGCTCATGAGCACCGATTCGACCGGCTCGGGCACAAAGGGGACAGGTCGCAAACGAGGTATGGTTTTGGCTGTTGCTATGGCGGTGCCCTCGTATTCCTTTTCTTTTTCCTTCCTTTCTTCCCTTTTTCCTTCCTTTTTCTCTTCCTGTTTTTCCCCCGCTAGGTTATTCCGTCCCTCCCCCCTTCTCTTGTTCTGAGACTTACTTTACGTTTCTTTCTCCTCTCCTCTCCTTTTTCTTTTTTTTTTCTTAGCCCCACGTCATCCATGATGATCCCTCGCCGCCGGACTTGGAAAATTGCAAGTTTTCTGTGTTGAATCCTCTCGTTTTGTTGCAAGTGCAGGGAAACATATTTGGAGAGGCTGGGGGCATCCCAGGTAACGCTCGAGAATTCTTGGGATGTCGTCACACCCCGACGGTCACTCTACGGTGACAAGGGGGGGTCCAAGTCGGTGAGGTTGTGGCACGGAACAGGGTGCGAAAGGGAGTTACCGTTCCCCGGGCACGTCAGATATGTTGCAGCGATCTCAACCCCTTGCCCAATCTCCCACTAGCCTGGACCCCACTGGACGATGTCGGGTCTGCTGTCCCACCGTTCATTGGCGCCAAACGAAGCAGGGTCTGGTTATCTGGCCATACCCTTCCCAGACCAAGTCGTCAGCGCGAAATTGTGGTACCACACAGATCCAGCAAGAACCTCTCAGCACCATTGGTATTTTGGGGGATGGTTTACTCAGCCTCTTTGTAATACGCAACCTACATGCCACATGCTTCCCGTATGAGATGAGGTGTCCATACGGATGCCGGTACTCCGTACGCCGCGTCCTTTGGTGGCAGCCCACCACGCTACACTTATACCTACCTTACCTTGCACACATACGCACACACAGACTTGCACTCGCACAACGCACATGTACCTAGGAGGTCCTGGGAAGCGTTGTGGGACACATCAGCTTACAGTACTTCATAAGGTACCTGTAACGCATCCACCCTCAGCGCAGTCCGCTAGCAATTAGTGGCTCTTTCTTCCGTAACGGTCTTCCCATTAATTCTAGGTACTATCGTGTGTACTATTTATTGCTGGCGTCCTTTCCACTTCTGACCCTTGCTCCTTCCACCTGCGTCGCACTCCCCACTTCAGAATCCCCCCTCTTCAGTTGTTCTTTCTCTCTTTTCCTCCTTGGCCAATTATTATCTCGCATCCCCTTGTGTAATGCCGATTGTTCCCTGACACGGGAGGGCTACGGAGTACAGAGTACTTGATGGGACGTATGGAGGGTGCTTACGACTAACTGATCTCCCAACCTGGATAGTCCTGTCGTTTATGTCCCAGTTTTCTGGCAGTCACCGCGATCTGTCCAAATCTCCGTTTTCCTCTCCCTCTTCCTCTTTAACCACCTCGACGCCGGCCTCCTCTCCGCCCCGCGACGATTCGCCAGTTTTCCTCGCCGGTTCTGACGACAACAATCAGTATCGAGCCTCCAGGAACAACAAGGTTTCCAGCATATCCGACGCCGCCAAGCCTCGGCCTGCCGCTGCCCAGCCAGACCCGGAGCCATTTCCAGTTCTTCCCACCTCGGACCTGCCATCAAGTTCTTTTGGCCAGCGCCCCAGCACTCCGCCCAGAACTCAGGTTCGCTCGGCGCCCGATTCTGATGCGTCACCTGTCAACGGATCGCCTTTAAGTACATCGGGAAGCCCTTCCACTGGCCGTCGTCGCCCAAGGAACAACAGCAACCGCCCACTCTCGCTTGTACAGACATACCAACCGCCCCTCATGGATGTCACCGAGGACACCATTCCGGAGCTACAGCCCATCTTCACGTTCCTCAACAGCCATGCGAACAAGCTATACCAGGAGGGTTATTTCCTAAAGCTTGACGACCAAAATACACGTGCGTTTCCTCACCCTTCGTCACCTGCCTCTTGCCCCCCTTCCCTTCGGCAGTTTTGCCCCATTCAGGGGTTACCCTCATCAAACACGTGCTCGTCTGGATATTTTCCCTCGTGGCATTGAAGTCTGACATGTGCATCTCAGAGGGCCGTCCCAACCCAGATCGCACCTGGACAGAATGTTTCGCCCAGCTCGTCGGCACGGTCCTATCCCTCTGGGATGCCGCTGAGCTCGATGCAGCTGGCGAAGACGGTGAAGTGCTGCCAAAATTCATTAACCTGACGGACGCCTCTATCAAAATGGTATGTGTTGCTGCAAATCACGCCATTCCGCTCAGCCCCCCATTGCTGCCGGCACCACGGCCGGACCTTTTTTATTAGGTTACTTCGATATGTGCAGTTATATGGACTACTAGCTGACGGAAATCTGGGCATCGTGGCAGATTGAATCGCTTCCTACGAGGTCGAACGACGAACAACCCTTGCAGAACATCCTCAGTATCTCTACCGCAGGCAGGAACCGATATCTCCTCCACTTCAACTCCCACCAGTCACTCATCCAATGGACGGCCGGCATTCGTCTAGCCATGTACGAGCACTCTACTTTGCAGGAAGCCTATACGGGCGCTCTAATTGCCGGCAAGGGCAAGACCCTCAACAATATTAATATCGTCATGGAAAGAGCGAAGTTCAAGACGGAAGAATGGGTCAGGGTTCGATTTGGCGCTGGAGTTCCTTGGCGGCGGTGCTGGTGTGTTATCACACCGCCCGACGAGAAGGAATATCAGAAACAACTGAAGGAGCTGAAGAAGCGGTCGCCATACGACCGCTCACCCGTGCCGAATCTCAAGGGCGATATCAAGTTCTACGACACGAAAGTGGAGGGTAAGAAGCAGAAGAAAGCCAAGCCGATCGCTTCGATTACCGATTCGTACTCTGCGTATGCCATTTACCCTCAGGCCAAGTCGCTCGTGGATGCTTCGACGCTTCTCAAGATTGAGGGCAATATCACCATCCACTCGGAACCGCCTTCTTCAACGGAGGGATTTGTTTTCATCATGCCGGAAAACCACCCCATGGTTAGCGGTTTCGAAATGCTTCTTCGTTTTCTCTTTCCGACGTGGGATACCTTCAACCTCTACGGTCGTCCCGGGCGGCTTGTTGCCAGCGTCCTGGATCCGAGGTCACTCATGTTCGCCATGCCCAAGAGCAAGAGATACGGCTATATGGACATTCAAGATGTGTCCGGCTTAATATTGACCGAAGGGAGCTCCTCTTGGTCCGAGCGGGAGTGGCGAAAGCAACTCAAGGAACTCACCGGACAGAAGATGAACTCGATGGACGATTCGCCCGAGCCCAAATCGCACAGCAGGAACAACAGCAGGAGTAACAGTCGCCTCAGCAACCGCCTCAGCGCCGGGAACGGGTCGCCCAGCCAGCAACCAAAACCCCGCGTTGGATTCGCCGACGAGGGGCCATCAGCCATGAATACTGCCAACCCATCGGGCCCTAACACGCACGGCTACGGCGCTTTCCGTCCGCAACCCGTAGGAGGGTTTGACAACGACCCGTATATGAACGCAAATGGCCAACGCCAGCCCATCGCCATGAGGAGTATCATGCGTGATAGGGCTGGAACCCTGGAAGGAATGAGCTCAGACGACGAGCAGCTCTCTCGCAATACCCCGCCTCCGCTCGAGACCCTGCGCAACCTGCAGACCCCAGAGCCGGTATCCCAGCCTCCAGCATTTAACCACGGACCCCGGTCCAGGCCGGTGAGCAAGCCATACCACTCTCCTGATCTTCGAAAGGCCAACAGCCGGCTTTCCAATTCCACCTTGTCTCACATGGTCAAGGCTGGCGGGCTCGCGCTCCCAAGCGGAGACCATCCTGGCGGCCCTCATTCCGAAGGGAGAAGGGACGGGGACAATGCCGCGTTCGCGCAACCATCGGTACATCCTCACGCCAGCCCTATAGGAGCCAATGCTAACGAGAACGGACCCAATGAAGCTATGAGGCCCCCCGGCTCCGCGCTCCCTGCGATCCCGCTCTTGAATCAACAAATGTCTAGGCCCCAGCTAGCTCAGCCCGGGTATGGCCCTCCGCCGAACCCTGGGCCCCACAGCCCCATGCCTCCCAACTATCAACAGGGCGGCCCAGGCGGCGGTCCTCTGCAGCCACCGTACAACAACTTTTCCCGCCCGGATGGAGCCCGAACACCTCCCATGGGCGGGCCTGGCCGTGTACCCACACCGGAGACGAGAGGTCGAGGTTACGGACAGCCACCGCCTCAGTTCCGGGATCAGCGACCGCACACCACAACGGCCGACGCATCAGCCGCCCGGGGAGGCCAGCTGGAGACGTCTCCGCCCATTCATCGCAAGCCAGTGGGCGGAAGGACACCGGCTTCGGAGCAACCAATTCACCGCCAGTTCAGTGAGCGAAGCGTTGCGAGTAGTCGTTATGATGACGGTTCCTCCGTTACCAGCCCGGACTATGCCAGCACTCATAAGTCTAGCGAGACTCAGGAATCGGTGGATCGACCTCGGGCGGGCGTGCTGAAGACGGTTGGTAGCGAGCCTCCCGTGCCGCCAGTCCCGAACGCTGGTTACGACATTCCGGATGTCAACTTTGGTCCTACCATGAATTATGGTGCCAGTCCGCGAAAGCAACCGGCTACACTGGTGAATCCTGATGGCCACCAACCTTACTCTCCTGCCATGGCGGCTCGTCATAACGCCGACGATATGGATGACGCTGGGCGGGGGCTCCGGCAACCGGGAGCCGGCCAGGGCGGACACAACCGTACCCCGTCCAACCAAGCTTACATGAGACGGTCGAAAACTCCGGAGCCGTTTGTGGGCCGGCGACGCTCTTCGCAGGATCTCTTGACGCATCTGAGGCGTAACTCGGCTGACCTGCTTCAGCGGCCAGGCTCTCGAGGTGCCAACCACGCTCTAGACATTGGAAGCTCGGGGGAGATGGCGTCTCACTTATCGGCACGAGAACAGGAGCAGATCGCACGGATGACGGGCGCGCCCCTTGTCAACGTGGCCGGGGGAGGCGGTGGCACTAGGCCCCAGTCTCCCGGCGGTGGGCTGCTCGGTACAATCGAGGCTCGAGAGCGAGAGAGGCAGCACATGAAGCAAGGACTCAACAACCAAGCCGTCCAGCACGCAGCTCATCCACAGCAACAGCAGATGCACCAACAGCCCCCGTTCCCGCAGCAAGGGTATTCGCAGCCGATCTACGCTCAACCAGGCTGGCAGCCGAATAACATGGGTCGCGGCGGCGGGCCAGGCCCGTACGGGCTCCCTCGGCCGCAACAGCAACCGCCGTATGGTGGGGCGCCCATGCCACCGCAGCAAGGCGGTGGGTACAGGCCGATGCCTGCTCCTCCGGGCCGCATGCGACAGGGACCGCCACCGCCTTTGGGCCCCATGCCGCCACTACCTCACGGCCAGTTCGGTGGGGGGTCTCGCCCCCAGTCGCCGGCAAGTCCCTATGGTCCGCGACCTCAACCAGGCTATCGCCCTCCACATCAAGGCCATGCGTTCTAGAGTGGGTTAAGGATGAACCCGAAAGCGAAGCGAACAAATATCTCAAGGCTGAGACGTGGTAACAAGGGGGGGCCCCTCGCCAAAGCAACGCAAGATTTGTTGTCTTATGACGAGATGAGGATTGGCGTTTACGGGCATTTGGATTTGGCGGGATAAAAACGACGATAGAGAGGATATTGTTCATCATGTCATCAAAAATAGGTCCGGCATATGAGGCGAAAATTCGTCACTTGTTTGCTTCTCTTTTCTGTTCGTGACACCCACCGCAAGGTCAAGGAGCATATGAACCGGTTAGAAACAGACGCGAACAAATTGAGACGATGTCAAGAACTTTAAACTTGTTTCCTCTTTTCCCCAGCTGGCATCTGTGATGAACTGCGAAGTATGATAATACAAACCGGGAAAATCCAGCCCGCCCTGGCCCCTGCAGAATGCAATCCGATAGATGATAATGTAACATAAACTCGGCATATCGGACCTGAAGAGCACTTGTGCAACTTGCCAAAGTCCCATTGGGAAGTGGAGGAAGAGACTAGACGTCCCAGAAACCGGGGTCGTTTTATTAACCGGGTTTTTGATAGTAGGGACACCCGGTAGTGATCCTGGGTGGTAAAACCCGCCTGCCTAGACAGGGGTTGAAACCCTCGGCTTCCAGGGGATAATTACCTGCGGCGCAGCAGCTGATGAAGTTGGACGGAGATGACAGCCTGCCTGGGTCATGATACCGGAGCATACCAGCGCTGTGGTATCAAGGGCTGGACGTCCCCCTATTTTTGGCCGCCTGACAAAGCATACATGCGTTCGTTGTACATTGTATGCTTTAGGTACGCGAACCATGCTTGCGGTGTTCCATTCCGTACTTTGGTTGGCGAGGAGACAGCGCAAGGAGAGGCTGGTTCAGAGATAGGGAGGGTGTGAAGAAACACTTGGCGTGGCGACGGGTCCAACCAAGTTGGACGGGTAAACCACCCAATGGAGAACTAAAACTGGGCTGTATGATGCTCTCTATATTATTACTAACTTGGAATGTATGTGCGCATGAATGTTCTCTATATGTGACGCAAATGAGCCATTGCCAGGTCGGCACAGCCTCCAAGAATGCAATCCATTGGGAGTTGAATTATCTAGACGTAAATATAGCACAGGGGCTCGCCGCTGAGAGTGTCGAACATGGACTTGATGGGCAGGTGGGGGCCGAGCACGCCCATGTCGAGGATATCATCGACGGTGGCGTCGGGGCTCGGGGGCATGTTGCGGAAGGTGCGGGTGCCGGCAATGGTGTCGGCTTCCCTGGGGTGGAGGACCTGCCAGATCCAGTAGACGCGGTCGATCATGGCGTGGTGCTGGTAGAAGGCGGGGTCGTTGAGCGAGGTGAAGACGTCGGAGCCGTCTCCGCCCATGGAGTAATGGCCGGCGCCGCTGTGTGGAGAGAAGCGAGGTCAGCCATGGAATAGATGAAGCAAAAGTGTGTACGTACTGCAGGCGAAGGGTTCCCTGGGGACCCTGTAGCTCATCCTGGAAGGCGGCGATGGTTGCCGAGTGGTCGCCCATGAGGATATCGTAGAGGCTCTCAGCAGTGAAGTATGCCGAAGCGGCGTTGGTGAGGTCGCGGCGTTGGCACCGGGGGTTATAGTCGAGTTGGTTGGTCATCAGGGGCAGGTAGCCGTCCATGGCAGGGCGGATAGGGCCGAGGTTGATGGTGAAGCTGGTTGTCGGGCGTCAGTCTGACTTGTCTGTATTTCTAGTCGTATAGAAGCGGGACGAGGAAACTTACTCCTTGAACGGGCCGCTCTTGACGCACTAGTAAGGATGGTATGTGGTTTAGTACTGGGTGTTCAAGCCATGGCGAGGGAAACTTGGAAAGAGGATGAAAAGAGAAAAGAGAAAAGAGAAAAGAAAAAAAGCACTTACACCACCGCCCTCGCCGGAGGGGAGCCAGACACGTCCTCCGCCAACGAGACTGCCGTTGTGGGCAAAGTACTCGCCATCTCCGCCCAAGCTGGTGTCGCTGCCATCGAAGACGGGCGACGCTGCCAGGTTGTCCTGGTACTTGAACCAGTTCCAGTAGGGCAGGGCGCCCTTGTAGCCGCAGTCGTTGCGGAGGGTCTCCTCCCAGAGGAACATGAGGTACCTGTGCCAGGTGAGGAAGTTGCCGGTGCCGTGGATGAAGTCGGTCAGGCTGAGGTGGATGGCGACGAAGTCGTCGAAGTAGTTCTGGGCGGCCGAGAATTCGGGGGCGCGGGTGGGGAGGCGCCAGAGGCACTGGACCGCCTTGATGTAGTCCTTTCTCTCGCACTTGGACATGTGCTCCCTGGAAGGCGCGCGATGGCGAGTAAGCATCAAGAAGAGGGTATTGAAAGGCCAAAACGAGAAGAAAATGAATAAAATAAATAAATAAAAAAGAAAATAAAAAAGAAAATAAAACACTCTACTCACCAGTCCCTTCGGAGACGGGCATTGGCCAGAGAACAGCCATTGCTGCGCTTCGCGACACCCGATTCTTCTGCCTCCTGGAGAGTCTTCAATGCCAGAGCCTGGAAGTCCTCAATGGTCTGGGGGTTCTCCAAGTCCACTTCAGTCGTCGGTACCGGGTCGGTAGGGGCGGCGGCGACCAGACCAGAGCCCAATGCCAGGCCGGCGGCGACGATGTTGGAGAAACGCATGTTGGCGGGGGAGGGGGGAGGCCTTGTGACGAACGTTTCGGACTTGCGTGATCTGGAGGAGGAGAATGTGAGAAGAAGGCAAGGCGTCGTGCTTGTTCCCTTGACGACCACGGGATGATTCGCGGGTTGTAAGTGAAGCGACGCGTGGTCGCAACGTGGGAGTTATATACAATATAATTAACATGCACAGCTCCTGGGGCGGCAACGCCCGCTTATTCGTACCCGCAGACCCCGCTCAATATTTCAGATTCTCCGAATCGTTCTGTCGTACAGATCGAATCCACACCCAAGAGCCCCCAAGATAGAGGGTGGGTTGCCCTCGAGTGGGTGCTTTTCCGACCAACGAGCTCATCAAAACTCCATAACGTACAGTAGCTCTTGATATCCAAGGCGAATTGCACGAATTACTGCTTACGAGGCGTTCGGTACTATTGTTCTTAGTATCTAAAAAGGACATAAGGCATCACATTACGACTAGTGATCAGATCGGAGGATTCTTACATCCATCTCTCCGAACGAACTTTTGGAGGCTGTAAATACTCCGTTTATCAGCTGTTGTTTTAGCCCGAACAGTATGTAGGGTTAAAGTGGCCGGTTCGAGCCGTAGTCATAATCAAAAGCATCCACATCTGGGAACGAGCAGGGCTGTGAGTGGTGCGAGTGTGTCCGGCGAAGTGATGGTGGGAAGGGCACGTGTGTAACGCGGTATGGAATCCGGAGAATCGAGCTGGGGAAGAAGGCAAAAGAGGCGAAGAAGGGCTGTGGTATTTTCATGTCGCCAAGGGGCCAAGAAGATGTAGTAATTTGGCCTGTTGGCTTGGTGTTCGGCATCTCCTGGGTTTCTCTTACTCTTAGTACTTGTTCGTCCTCTTCTCTCTCTTTTTTTTCTTTTTTTGTTCTGTTCTTTTTTCCCCCTCCCTGGGCAGAAGGATCGGATTATTCCGGCCGTTCTTCAGAAGGGACCCCTGGATTCTGCGCACGGGGGACACGAGGCAATGCAGAATGATTGGAAAGGCGGAGATTTAGCGTACGCCCTCATCTGTGCGGCAAAAGCAAAGTTGGTCATTCATCTGGAAAGTAGGAATATGTCGGTATGAGTACGAGATAAATACTCCGTACCCCGTAATGTAAGTACCGTAGGTAATACAGTAAGGTAAGGTAGGTAATGTAAGTAATATCCGTGATACTCTCTCTCTCCTTCTCTGTTGATGTTTTGTTGGTGGCGAGCGTTGGCGAACGACTTGGACAATGCTACTACGTTGTAAGGTATAAGGTAAGGTTGATTACATTCCATCCTGACCAAGTCCCTGACGAAGCGCTCCTCTGACGATGAAAGAACTCGCTGGCGGATCTATAAATGTAACCTCAGTCCCGAATTACCGGGCGGCGTTGGTGTGTGTTTTCTTATTTTCCCCTTGTCCCCCTTGTTCCCCTTTTTCTTCTGTTTCTTCTTTTTCTCTCCTGGTTTCTCTTTTCGCTTTTAAGCGGTTTCAAGGTGTCATCCCCTCATTCTTGTCTGCATGAAGTATATTAATTTGAAGCAGGATTTGAATTGAGCCGAATAAACAAGATTACAATCGATGAGACGTTGTACTGCGAGCTGCGAGGGGGCCTCATATAAACACAATGACCAGCTTTGCCATGTGCATTCGTACTTTGTACGAACGGAGTACAACGTACAGAAGTGTGTACGTCGAGTACGACCTAGGTACGAAGGAAAGATGGGATGATCTCCCAGACTTGCGTCTACCCGTGCCCGAGCGTACAACCTGGGCTGCAACGGGGTATCCGGATCGACAGCCAGAAGGTAGGTCCGTGGCATTATTCAGGACTGCTGTGCCACTCCGCCTGTGTTTACTTTATGTAAGGAGGCTTTCCTTCCCGTAACGTTGTTGTTGTATGGGGGATGTACGAAGAAGATACCTTACCGTAGGTACGTTGAATGTACGTTGTACTCTGTAGTCCGTCCTCGAGTTCGCCATGTACTTCGTACCTTACTCTGTAATTACGAAGTACTCCCCCCTGGTTCCCCCGCTCCTCACCAGCATCCCCAGGTTTCAGTGTGCAGCGTTGCATCTGCCAAGGACAAGGGTCAAGAAAATATGATCGATCTCGTTCTGTCTGAATATGTGATAGGTATGACCAAGAGTTGGTGTGCTTCGATTCTACACGTGTAGAAGAAATAAAGACATTTCCACCATGAAATATGAATGTACGAAGTACGAAGTACGTTGTACGAACAACATACCTCACCAGGTACATAATTAAGTACAACGCACTCCGCGGTAGCCGCAGCCTAAAAAAGCTGTTCTGTTGTCCCCGTCTCTAGGTAAGGTAGAGTACCGCACTAAAGAGATGATGTTACCTTTAGGAAATGACCCTGCGGCTGCCGCGACCGTACATTCGCACTACCTGGATAATCAGGCCGCTAGGCCGTGAGAAGTGGGCCAGAACTCCATACAGTCGGTACAGTTCTGCTCCTTTTCCCGCATTCGGCCCATTTAGTAACCAGTCAAAAACAAGGCCGCAACGGAGGCTAGGTAACTTAGTTAGGAGGAGCAATATTGAACGGGGTGGCTTCTAGTATGCTTGGCAGCTGACCGACAATACACTTATTCTTATTTCCACCACTTCCATTGCGAACGGACGGCCTTGCTGAAGAACGAAGCGCGAGGATCTCTCTCTTCGTCTAGGTACCGTAGGCACTAAAAAGATCCACCCCCAGGTTTCCAACGAGGTATATGTACATACGTGCGTAATTTCTCCATTACCTTCGTACACGTATATAACCTCCGTACAGGAAGATCGAGGAAGAAGAAAGAACTGAAGCAAGGATCCCTTTTCGATCGATCGTATCATTGGATGGGCGGCGCAGGGATTGGAAATTTGCACAACGTATGTACGCAGCAGGCATCACTGTGAGAAGGAAAAGGAAAAAAAAAAAGGGGAGACTGGACCTGAGCTAGGTTGCCCCATTTTTACGTTACGAAAGTAGGTACGGATCCTTCCCAGTGCGCAAAAAGCCAAGGGGACACGGAGTCCGGAGTACGTTGTAAGAGGCCAAAAATGGGGTCGTATGCGGGTAAAGGAACAAAGGGAACTTTTGTGGAGGCACGGGACCCCAGTTTTTACCGTTTACACTGTGTTGGTGAAACGAAGGTCCTTCCCGACCCGGCAGTTAGGCCACTAAAAACACTAATATAAGGCACACTAAGATACACACTAAGAAGGGGGAGATTTCTTCAGATGACAAAGTGAAGGGGGGATAATAAGTGAGGTACATATGTAGGTATGTTGAACGCCGACTCAAATTTCTTACGCTTCATCCTACGCTGCTAGGGCTGAAGCTGAAGAATCGACCAACCAGCCAGGTCTCTCTTCATGCGGTGTTCCACGATGCTGCATGAGCACATGTGCCTAAACAAGGGTTAGCAGTGTGACCGGAGGAGTGTTCATGCGTGTATCTTAAACTTACGTAGCAAGTGCACGTTGTAGGAATTTTCGAGGGGTAGAAACGGGCTGCAAGTGGGCTAAAATGTGTAGGAAATCGCAGGCTTGCCCGCCCAGGGAGCTGGTTGAGGCTTGAGAGCTGGGGTAATTAGGTATTAAGGTCTCACTGCGGTGGAACAAAGTCAGGTACCTTAGGTACATACACGGCACGCAGACACACAGACATAAGGCAGGGCAAGGATTTGGAAGGGCTTTGCCGTCCCCCAAGACGGACTAAACATGCAAATTCGTTCACACCGCGGTACTCGGGACCTGCTCGCTACCGTAAGACTGAGAGAATGGCGTTATCCGAGCGCTCAAAATTGAGACATATTTCTGTAGGCCCTGCCAGCCTTGTCTTGCTTCGAGGGCTTTTTGTGTGTTGGAACTTGGAACTACCTAGGTGTAAGGCAGGGGGGAACTGCAGAACGGCTGCATCAGACCGGGGACGGAAATAGAGTCGCTATCGTTCACCTTGACTGCTCATTACGCTGTAACACACTCTCTACTCTTATTTTTCTCTCTCCTTCATTTTCATGCTCCCTTATATACCGTACCTGCAGCCCGGTTGCGGAGAGTTCTGCTGTGTCATCTGCTGACCTCTTAATATCCATCGGCATCTCGCGTATGCCGGCGCTCCTGTCTCGGTCTCGTTTTTTTGCATTTGTTTTTTTACATTCTACATCCTCCGGCTTCGAACTCATCCGTCCCGAATAAGATAATATATTCAGACCGACCCAGACAGACGGATACCACGCGCCCTTGGAGGAGAGTGACGAGTGACGACTCTCCTATCGTCCCATCCGTTCCGTCATCATGTCTTCCGGACCGCCTCCAGATATTGACCCGGCCTACGCGGCTGAGACCAACTTCCCCCGCATGATGGCGATCAACGGTACATTCCAGTGCGTCTCGTCCTACCTCGCACAGCATTTTCCATCGTCCCGTTCCCGCTCCCGTTCCCGAGTTCGAGTTCGAGTTCGACTTGTCTTCTAATGGGTGGCTTTCTCTCTATCAGCGGAATCGCCATCATCTTCCTCGCTCTTCGCATCTACGTCCGGTCGTGCTTGCTCAAGTCGTTCGGCATTGATGATGTGGTCATGATCATGGCATGGGTACGTTCCCGGGATGGGCAACATGGCAAAAGAACGCCCCCTTTTTGTCGCACGCGAGAGAAAGGAACAGGAGGAGTCGACGAGGGGATGAAGCTGACCAGGAAATAGTTGTTTCTCTTTGGAGGTGGCATGGTGACGCAAATCATTGCCGGCACACACGGAGCATTGGGCCGCCATGCGGATGCCGTGACCGTCGAGGAGATGGAGATGTACGGCATGATGAGCTTCGTGCAGGGTGTCTGTATGACGGTCACCAGCATTTGCCTGCTCAAGTTCTCCATTGCCCTGTCGCTACTCCGGCTCAACAACACCAACAAGTGGTACAAATGGATCCTTTGGGGTCTGATGGGTACGACTCGATTCTCTTTGACGGCTTGACACCTGATCACACAAATCACTCAAACTAACACTCCGGGGACAGCGTTCATCTTCTGCTACATGATCATGGGCTGGGTGTCTCTCCTAGCCTTCTGCAAGCCGGTCGAGGCCCACTGGGACAAGGAAGTGTTCAAGACGGCCACGTGTTACCCGCGTGAGACGGCAAACTTGTTCGCATCATTGAACACAGGTAAGCGGGCCCCCAAGAGCGTCCGCAGCGGCATCCCTCCCTGCACTCCGAGTTGGTTTAATGTTGACAATCCCTGCAGCCTTCAATATATTCACGGATGTCGCCTTCGCCACGATCCCGATTCCGATGCTCTGGTCGTTGCAAACCAAGCTGCGTGTGCGGATTTACCTTATTGCCATCTTCAACCTTGGCTACATGTACGAACCCTTCCTCTCTGTTTGTTTCCTAAACCTTGGATCAAAACTGATGGGAATACACAGCGCTGTGGGTATCGGTATTGTCAAGCTTATCTTCCAGCTCGTCACGCGTGGCGACCCTGACAAGACGTTCAACAACTGGATCCAGTTCTTCGGACTGTACGTCGCCTTCCCTCCTTTTCTTCCGCCCCTTCCTTGGATCTTCCCTCTTCCCCATTCCAAGCTGTGCTGGAGGGAACAAAACTAACAGGACGACCCAAATCATCCAGACTCCAGCAAAATGTCGGCATGATCACCGCCTGCGCTCCGATGCTTAAGCCGCTCGTCGCCAGGACGCTCAAGCTCCAAACCTCGTACGCATCTCCGACCGGTCCCAGCGGCTACGGCAACCGGCAAAGGCCATCTGCGGCGGGTTACATCCGAGAAGAGACGTCGGGATTCGAAATGTCCAAGCTCCAAGGGGGCGTCAGCGATCCGTACCACACCACTGTCAAGGGTGGCATCAGCGACGACGGCAGCGAGACGTCCATCTTGGCTGAAAACCTGCAGCACAGGGTCATGAAGCACACGGAGATTACGGTTGAGGAATCGAGTCCGAGGAATCGCAGTTGATGTGATGACACGGCGCGCACCGATCGCGCTGGGTTCGGGGGAGGGAGTTTCTGGAACACGACGCGGGAAAGGGGCCAAGGCACAGAGGAAAGCGGGGACGGGAATGGAAAAAAAAAAAGGAAAAAAAAAGAAGAAAAGAAAACGACAGATAAACCCCCGAGAGAGGGTAATGGATGTTGGGTCAGCGGATATTCGACCATGTATTAATTATTCAGGGACGGTGTCGGGTTTTACGGAGGATTGGGAGCGATGCGAGTACTCTTCTTGTGCCTTGAGACGTCCACTTTCTACAAATCATGACGGCATGCCAAATGGGAATACCTCACTCTGTTACCACACATGTATGTCGTTTGCTTCGACTGCTTCGACGTGCATTCCGACTAGGGCATCACCAAACGGGCGTATACCCCGGTCCCGTTGTGGAGGTACGGTACTCGGGGAGTCAGTCCATGCGTCGATACAGCTGAAAAACCAGCGGTGTACGTCATGACCGGTGGGGATTCGCCAGTTCTTTGCGTTTATCGCTCGCGGTTAACCGGTAGTCGCTAATGTATCTGTGTAGTCCATAGTGATGGCTGTTAACCCTTTGGGCGCTCTATAACCTCATACGTCTAGTTCGTTCACTCGCAGACTCACAACCTCAACCCTAACCCTCTTGAAATTGGAGAAGCAAGCAAGTTGGCATTCAATTATTTTCATCCAACTGTCATCTCACTGTTGTCTTGTTCTTACAAGAAGCTTAGGAAGAGGCCGCGCAGGACGGGAGGGTCAGGGCAGCGATACCTTAAGGTACTCGAAGAAACAGCGCCGGTCAAGGGGAAGTACCTTACACAGACGTACGGATACTTGATAAGGTAGGGCTGATTGTCTGAGAGCCGACGGAGCCGTCTACCGTTTTTAGCTTCAACCGTTTGGCTGATGTTTGACTGCGAGTACCTTATGTTAGGTACCTTACTGATACACCTTCGAGCGAAACTACCTATCTTCCGGTGTTAGCTTACATGTTCGAGTTGAATGCACGGACCATCTATCTGACGGTACCTAGCGGTACCTCAAGTCATGTGATGACGCTCTTTGAAAGTGCCACAAGTGGCCGTTTGCAACGCTGACCGGCTTCAGTCTTAGGTACTATGAAGTACTTTCATCATCCAATCACATTTTACGGGCTGACACCGTGCACCAACGGTGAATTACGGAGAGGTACATATATGACGGGATCTCCGCACTTGCCTAGCGCCCCCTGTGAATATCGTTCATAGGCATAATACTGCTATTGAATGATGTCTCGCAAGCAGCGACGACGAATTTCCACCGACGCGGCTGGAGAGTTTATCGCTCGCGATTTTATTCGAGCCTCCTCTGCAAGATATCGCGATATCATCACCAATAACTTCTCGCGTTTCTCAAGAAACCTTCAAATTACAATAACGACCAAACAATGGCAAGTCGACCGAGATACGTTCAACAAAGGGGTCACGCCGACAAAAGGACCCAAATAGGGCCTTGGACTACACGTGACCCCTGTTTGATGACATCCGCTCCCTAGGGAACGCTATGGTCCAGAATCCACGCATTTGCGATCCACGCTGGCTTCAGCTATGGATGCGGACGATTCTGTTGGCGACTGGTCCGGCTCGGACGAGGGCGACATCCATGTTCGCAGAGACTCGAATCTTGCCAGGCCAGTCCAGAGCCAGCTTCGCCCAGCGCGTTCACGACTCTCCTTCGTGCCGTTGATTGACTTTGACCCAGACGATGCTTACGACGAGAACCCGCCCTCCTACATCCGATATAGTCTTGAGTGGACTTTGAAACTCAACAAGAGAAAGATCGCTTTTCAAACCGAATCTGACGTCGTGCTTGCGCCAGAGAAATTTCTGGAATCACACTCTCGGGCCGAATCTGAAGAATGAGGTCTCGAAGCTGGATTCGACAAGAGCCTACAAGGCCCAGACGACCACGGTCACTATATCTGTCAACAATCGGAACGATCAAGATCATATAAGGCGTTTTGATGGGTTGGATATGAGCTGGCCCGTGGTTGAAAAGCAGCTGCGATCTTGGAGCCATCTTCTCCTTGAAAGAAAGAAGATTCGGATCAAAGTAGTATTTGACTACGCGGAGACCGATAGATCTACTCGGAGTACGGGCGTCGGGCGAGGAGCCACAGCATCGCAGCTGGCAGAAAGATCTGTGCGACTCGACGCCGAGCAGGCAGGGTCTGGCGCACCAGACCCATGGAGACATGTTTCCGGGATTTGTCGATGCACCGTGGGCCCCTGCGACCGTGGTCCCTACTGCTGGCAAGACGCTGAGACCAAGAAGCACTCTAAGCTGATGGGCCACTACTTGAGGCAGCTTGTGAAGCTTGTGCAGACGGGTGGTCGGTTCCAGTCGCATAGTGACATGCCACAGGACATCCGGGAAGCGCTGTATGCCGAGGAATAATAGCAGTCGAATCGCAAGCGGAAACGATGCGACCCGGAGCCTCAATAAATAACTCCACAGCCTCTGATCATCAACAACTATATTCCAGCTAATGCTGATGGATCTTCGACATCGTCCCGGCGCCTTTTAGAGCACCTTCAAACCCCTAGGTTGGAGCCACTTGAAATTCCCGGAATGTGGGATGATGCGGTCAAGGCGTACTGCGTATGGCATTGTGAGAAAACCAATAGTGAGGAACTCAAGGGGCAATTCAAGCTTGCTCGAGATCTGACTCTGGAGGCTGGCTTTGACCTCGAGTTGGTCCATTAATCTGGGAATCCTACGACCCTCACTGGCTCGGGAGTCTTAGAAGGGATTGCTCGACAATTCGCTCGGGACGTCAAGAAATTTGTACAGCAGTACATGCCGCTTTAGATCATTTAAATTCCAATTCAGTCTATTCTGGCATTTCATCGATCGATATACCACATCGCTCGAAGTGACCCCTAGCACTCTTTTCTCGCTCGCCAACGATCCGAACACACTCTTCTAGGAAGAAAGCGAAGTCCTGTCTGATGAGGTCCTCGTGCTCATGCCAGACTTGACGGATGTAGTTCTTCAGCTCACCGAAGTACTCTTCGATGGGGTTGACGTCAGGGGAATACGGCGATTGCATCAGCAGAATGACCCCAGCCTCTTCACACATCTGCCGCACCTTCTCTGTCCGATGGAAACTGGCGTTGTCCATGATCAGCACAGACTTTGGCTCTGGCCATCTACCGCAGTACGGAAGTAACTCCTCTATGAAGTTCCCGAATACGGTGCTGTCCGTTGATCGGTCGAAGACTCGGAAATGAAGGACGCCTTGCTGTGTGTATGCGGGGAGGATCTGGTACCTCTTTCCGCGGTGGAACCTCTTTACCTGGACAGGCCTGACTCCTCGCGGGGCCCAGCCTTTCCTCCGTATCCCTGCAGCTTTATCACAGCCGCTCTCGTCGATGAATACGAAATGACAAGAACGGTACTGGGATCGTTCATACAGATAGTCATCTCGGAGGTCAGGATTTCGCTCTTGGGCGACATTCCGAACAACTTTCTTGGAGCAGCCCGTGGACTTGAAAAGCCTACCGACGCAAAAGCGCGAAACATCGGCATGTTCAAAAGCCCTGTTGAGGAGTGCCGCCAACTCGCCTTGTCCCCTGCAAGGGTCAGTGGCTAGTATATCTTCAAGGGCTTCCCGCATATTCGGAGTGATCTTCGGCGGTCGACCGAGGCGATTTCGAGGGGCTTCGAGAGCACCAAAGTGCTTCAGGTTCGATCTGTACGTTCGTATCGTCCTGGCGGACCAGCCTATGATCCTGCCTATGTCAACATCCTTGGGAACCTTTCCTCCGAGAGCCTCGGTCTCGAGTATGTGCCGCAACTGCTCTCGTGATGCCTGTGTGAGTCGCGCCATCTCAGCGTTCCGTGGTGAACAATGGGCGAGACGGTGGATCACTTCGCCAATTCCCATGTGGAGGGGTACCGGCATTTCCTCGGAACAGTCCCAACCAATGTGAGAGCGACCCCGTATCATTGCTGATTGGTCGTATTATCTACTCTCTGACGGCGTGTATAGTTACACCACGCCCACGTCCACGTCGCAAGAAGCGGGGAAGCCTGGGAAGCAAGCTTCATGAACTCGGGCACGAACCCACGAACCCACGAACCCACGAACGACCATAGCCCTTTCCTCACCGATAGGTAAGAGCCGTTAACTTATGAGCGGCGACTTCTTCCTCACCGACCTTAGATAATCATCAAAATGTGCCACTATACTTAATGGGACTGTCCTCAATGCGGCGCAAGGGGATATCGAGACCAGACCCAGACCTGCGGGAATGGCGATCATGCACCATACAGCGATGGCTCTACCGTGGACAGGAACTCGCAAAAGTGCAACACATGCGCATTTCCAACGCCCCCAGACTCCGACTAGATCACCACAGAAGTAGTCTGTAGCCAGATCTTCCAGCTGGCTCAAGACGAACCAGTTGTTTCCCTTGGCGCCCCATAATGGGCTCGCTGCCCCTTCGATAGATCCTCTCGAAAGGGAGGTCTGCCTTCTTGGCCGTTGAGGATGTGAAAGGTGCGGATCTGGTCGTTCACATATCTCGCTCGCTCCGCACTTGACATCGCAGCTCGGACCTTCCCGCGCTTGAAAACAACCTCACAAACTGGAAGGTTGTTAAACTGAGCCAAGTGTCCCAGGCGGGGGTCATAGTCATGGTAGAAAAGGTCGAATACAACGAAGATTGCCAGATCCAGTTGTTGCACCGCCACGAGATTTGGAGTACCTGTCGGGATGTTTTGCTCTTTCATAGCCTCGATAGTTGTCTCTATCAGGTTATCGGGTTTTTCCCAGGCCGTTGTGTATTCTTCACTTCGTTGTGACGCCCTGGCGCAGACTCTCAAAGGTTTCGTGTCCATGATTCTGTCGGCTTTGCCTCGAAGGCAGAGTTGGTTTCTGTTTCGGTTTGATCGAGGGGAGGGCTCGCGCGATCATTCGACTCGAGAGAGAAAAGAGGCTACCCGCCATATAGGTAGGACAGTCTGTAGTGGTCGGTCGATAACCTTCCCCGGCGACACGAGCTTGTAATTTGCGAGTTCAGTACTAGTGCGTCAAGTTCGTGTGTGCGATTAAAATAATATGCAACAAGACATTAGAGCTTCAAAGCCTAATTCATGTTACGGGGCGTCCTAGAGTGACGTCAAGAGTATACAGTGCCAGCAGTATCATATTCACACCGTCACGACCCTACTTTCAGTCTTAACCCCGTTTCTAAAGATGAAGATTATTTCGCTCCTGTGTGTACGAATCTCGTAATCACTTGAAGTACCTTACCTACCCAAACGGAAGCAAACGCTAAGCCCGATTCGTCACGCGCGTCGAGACGTGGTAAAACGTCGGACCTTCCCAGCGTCTGTTGCCCTGTGGATTTGCCTGTCATTCCGAATTAAGAAACAATCAGAATCCCTGACCATATGAGCATTCGACCATTTGACCACATCCCTCGAGACATACCCGCACCCACCCCTCGATTTGTCAACCTTGAAGCTCAGCTTCTTTGCATCTCGCCGGTCACGTTGGTTGGTGCTGCGTCCTCGAGTCCACTCCAGCTGATTTGGTTTTCTTTCCTCCTAGCTTTACGATCCAGTGGTGTCCCTCTTGTTGCTGAATTTTCTCTTCTTTTACTATCCATTTTTCTGGATCCCAGGTCTCATACTCGGGCAGTGGCATCAAGGCGGCGACATATCATTCCTCCAGATCACGGGGGTGGTTTCTTTTTTTTTTTATTTTTTGTTTTTCTTCTTCTCTTTTTTCCCCTTCTTTACTTTCTCTCTTCTCTTTGCTTTTTCCGGGGCCTCTTTTTCTTTTTTTTTTTTCTTCTTCTCCACCATTCCCTCCCTCCCTTGTCATTTATGGGATGTATTTAGCAACTCGTCCGTCATTCGGTGTCCGAACCTCTACCGCACCCTTGCTCGAGGGGCCACACCCATCAAAAATCAGCCTTCCCTGCCATCTTGCTGCCTTGCCATAACTTCGACCCCTTCTTCGAGCATTGATTCTCGGCCTACCAACGTGTCAACCCGATTGACGAAACAAGAACCCGATCTGCTCCACGAAATAGCCATACTAGCTACGTATTTGTCTCCAGCACGAACTTGTGATAGGAATCGTTTTTTCCCGGCATATCCATCCCACCTTTCCCCGGTTCTCCAGCGTACTGGCATCGTTGCCTATTTCGCCTTCAAATGCGACGACCGCAGCACGCACACTTCACATAACTACACAAACATCCTTCTGCTTGCCACCAGTCATTCCTCTCAGCAAACCTCCTCGAGGCAATAGCCTCTCGACCAGCCCTGGCCGCCGAACCAGCTCTGGCCCTCAATCAGCTCCGTTCGCCGTCCAAAGTCCCAAATGGAGGCTGATGGAGGTGATCCCACCCAACGTATGTTTCCCCCCTCTCTTTTACGCCTGTTTCTCTCCTCTTCCTCCTCTCTGTGGCTAGGGGATCTCGCATCAAGCTGACATCGTCCGGTGCTTCCAGCCACCCAGAATGTTCTGGACCCCCGACGCATCGGCCAGCAGAACTCGGGCTTCTCCGACGAAGACATATCCGACATCCTTTGCCTCCTCTATCCGTACTCCCCCTTTGCCCGGCAGGAGGTCCACCGCATAGCCCAGGACGATAAGAGTCATATTGTTGGAACCGACGAGGCGGCCGCTATCGAGCCCAATTACGAAGAGGAGGACCAGGCGGACAGGTTTCGGGTCGCCCCGGCCAACACTGGCGAGTATGCTGTCATCCTGCGCCTCTCTGCCGACGTCAAGGACCCTCTCCTGGGCTTCCAGTTCGGCAGAAATCATGGTCGTTGCGACTTTTGCTTCCGTAACGATCCCATGAAGCGCCTGAGCAACGTCCACTTCCGCATCTACGTCAACGAGTATGGCGTCGTCATGCTGGAGGATCAGTCCACCAACGGTACCATTGTCGATAGCCATCTTTTGCGCGGGAAGAACCCCAACGACAAGGCCGACGTCCGTCGAACACTGACTCACGGGTCACGGATCAAGATCTTGATGCACGCCGAGGCCCGCGATCTTGAATTCCTCGTCCGCATACCGAAGAGGGAGGGATCCTATGACCGCGCCTATATTCACAACCTGGAGGACTACTTTGACCGGTTGAAGGAGCTAAGGGAAGAGAGGGCAAATAGGACCCTTGTCCCCGGCACCGGTGGACATGTAAGCTGAGCCCCCAACCCCCCAACCTGCCAACGCCAGCTTTTTTTCTTCTTTTTTTTTTGAAATTCTTTTCTCTTTGCGAACCTGACCTTACAATAAATAGCCTGACCTCTTCGCCGCTCCCAAGACCCGCGCCCCTGCACGGCCGAGGATCCCGCTACCTTCGGGAACTACCCACGAGAACGTCGACCGATTTCCCAAGGAGTGGAGAGGTTCGGATAGGTACAACAGAGTCGGCCAAATCGGAAAGGGCGCCTTTGCCGTTGTCCATAAAGTCACTTCTAAGTTTGACGGCAACCCATATGCGGCCAAGGAGCTCGAGAAGCGCCGTTTCATGAAGGACGGTGTCCTCGATCAGAAGGTCGAGAATGAGATGAAGATCATGCAGCGAGTGAATCATGTACGTGGTTTGCCAAGCCCCTTCTCCTTCGCCATAGACCCGCATGGTCCAAGTTACACAAGTCGACTGACAACTCTTGCAGCCCAACGTCGTTCGTTACATAGAGCATTTCGACTGGGAGAACCGACTCCTGATTATCATCATGGAATATGTGCCCGGCGGGGACTTGGGTAAACTCGTCGTAGATCGAGGCCCTCTGCCCGAGCCTCTGGTTCAGCAAATGACGTCTCAGCTGCTCAGCGCCATTGGCTACCTCCACGAGAATAATATCACTCATCGCGATGTGAAGCCGGACAACATCCTCATCCAGTCGGTGAACCCTTTCGAAGTCAAGCTCACCGACTTCGGTTTGTCGAAAATAGTGGATAACGAGAGCACCTTCCTCCAGACGTTCTGCGGCACCCTCCTCTATTGCGCCCCCGAGGTCTACTCGGAATATACCGAATATGACGACCATGGATTCAGGCAGCCTCGCAACCGACAACGGCGTCCGCCTCAGGGTCAGAGATATGATCACGCCGTCGACATATGGTCCTTGGGCGGCGTCCTCTTCTACTCACTCACGACCAGGCCTCCGTATCCCGTGAAGAACGGTATCAGCTACTCGGAATTGCTACACCAGATCATGACTACGCAACTCAACACGGTCCCGTTGATCCAGAAGAACGTGTCTCACGAGGCTGTGCACTTCCTCTGCTCCATGCTCCAGAGACGGCCGGAGGAGCGGGCTACGATCAGTGATCTTCAGCACCATCCTTGGCAGGGTGGCGGTCCACGGCCCGATGACGAGCGGTCCCTCGACGAGGTCACTGACGATGAGTTAGAAGTCGGCGCCTCGCAGCTCAGTCTACAAGAAGGCCAGGGGCGTCATTTCGTCGATCCATCTCCGGCCAGGGAGGTATTGGACGAGGTCCTGGACGACTTGCTCGAGGAATTTTCGGACAAGGAAAACAGCGGACAGCACGACACATTCGGCCGTCCTGGTAAAGGTCCTCGTTTATTCGGAGAGCTCAACGTATCTGCCATGGGAAGCTCGGGAGTTATCCCCGCAGATCGCCTTAACCTTCCATTGTCGGGTCCACGCCGTAGGGCGGAGGACAGCATGGAAACAGAAATACAAGATAGCGTTGGCTCGGGTGATTCCTCCGCGCGGGGCAATGGCTCTGCCGGGGGCGTGCAGCTGTCCATGTCCGCCGCGCATGGTCAGTCCATGGATCAGCTGCAAAGCCTCGTGGAGAACGTCCGGTCGCAAAGTCTGGGGGCGGCCGAATCCGCCGTCCAGGATGATCTCCGCGTGAAGTCGCCCACCGCCTCCCAATCTGTCCTCAACGGAAGCTACTACACGGCAAGTAAGCGCAAACCCGGGTATGATACCAGCGACGAGTTCGAAGAGCGGCGGCAAAAGGAGAAGCCCGTGTTCAAACGCCTGCGATCGGAAGGGAACATGGAAACGCTGGCGGACCAGGCACTCGAAGAGTGCATCCTGCTCGCGTCGATGCCACTGGTCAAGCGGCTAGAATCCGGGCGGCTGATCGACGGGCCCCAGGACAAAACGTTCTTCTGGGTGGGACGCGAACTGGCGACCTGGCATCTGGAATACCCGGAGATGACGGAGCTTCAGCGTCAGGTCTTCGAGCAGGCGGCGGAGGCTCGGAAAGAGTCGTTCACCCCGGGGAAATCGCCCTTATGGGATCTGGCCATGAAGTATTTCCCGCCCACGCCACTCTCACAACAGATGGAGGACACGGAACCACCCTCCGGTCCTGCGACGGCAGGGGTCATGCCACGTGCCGCGCTCCATCGGGAGACGAGAAACCTCGCAGACCTCGTAGACAGTAGTATGGTCCTGCCACCCACGGCTCCGGTGCCCCAGGCGGAAGAGGAGGAGGACTCCTTGCCTGATACGTTGCCACCGACTCAACGTATCGTCCCCATCCTTGCGGAGGAAGGGGCGCACCGTGCCTTGGCCGTTTTGGAGTCTGCACCCGACTCTGTTATACCCGGTATAGCTGTACCGATCACGGATGCGTTAATGTCCTGGGGGAGATCGCCGGAGAACACGGCCATCTACACCCCGAGATCCGAGACGAAAGTACCCAAGTTCGCGATCAAGGTCCTTCTTTGGAAGGACGGCTACGACCCTTCCAGGAGATCGTCGAGCAAGACCGTACAGCCCTGGGAACAAGAGGGAGACTCGACTGGATATTCGTTTTACGTCTCCACCAAAGCCACGATGGGCATCCACGTCAACGGCTTTCACCTTCGCTCGTCCAAACCGCCGACGTCCTCGCCTGAATGGGTACAGCTGCACAACGGGGACGAGATCGTGGTGTGGGGAGGCATGGGCGACCCGCAGAAGACGAAGCTGATCTTCCGGTGCTTCTGGGGCGGTTCGGCGCAAGCCCGCCCGGCTTGTCGCGCGTCGCCGCCGCGGCCCGTCTCTTCGTCGGTGGCGCGCAGGATCGAGGAGGCCTTCGTCAAGACGGAGAAGCGCATGCGGGCGGAGGCCGAGCGGAACCGGAAGATGGAGGAGGCGCAGCGCGACCTCATCCGGCGACAGGCCCGGGTGCACTACGAGCGCGAACGGACCCGCGTGTTCGAGGAGAGGATTCTGGATGCGCGGGAGCACCTTGCGGCGGTGAAGGCGACGATGACGGCGACGACTACGATGACGGCGGCTTCCCGGCGTGGGTCGCCGGCGAGTGCCCCTCCGACGGGGACGACGACGACGACGCGACTGAACCTTGGGACTTAGATGGTCCCCTTAATGGCGTGCCCTTTGGGTAAAGTCTTTGGGTCATCCGGAACATAATTAGAACAGCTTGGCTTGGCCAGAACAAATAAAATACAACAACAGCATCTCATGTTCAATATTCATTCTGCACGACAGCGTCTCAGACGAAATATCATGTTGGTTTTTGGCATGGACAGGTACTCTCTCGTGGCACATATTCACATTCGGTTGGTGAGAGAAGCCTTCGGTTCACAAGGCGGGCCACATGCCTCGCTCACTTGGGCCATATATATATATATATATATATGTTAAGGAGGGTCGCATAAGGCTAATTGTCCAGACCCTAGGGGACTTGGGAAATGTCTTGGTATTAAAAGGCTTCAGCTAAGGGTGCACATTATGCGGCGAGCAGGCGCCCACGCATATTAGCATGTCTGTTGTCTGTTCCGTCCATGATCCAGATCCAGGCACTGCAATCCCGTACTTCGTTTCCATCTCTTCACAACAGCATGCGTATATAACGCTCCAAACCTGAACAATCCTATGTTTGGAGGATGTTCTGCATGTCCTCCTGGTCCCAGGGACTGACTCTTCATCCTCGAATATGACCGGCAATACCGGGATGGGAGTTTCGTCTGTACACTCTTTCCTTTTTTTTTTGGTTCTATTTTTGTTCGTTTATTTTCCTTTCCCCCCCTTTTTTTTTCTTTCTCTTTTGAATGTTGTTGCCACAACCTGGCACTGGCGACACAAATAGCAGGCGCGAGATGAGGTGAGAGGGACACAAATAAAAGGGCGAGAAAAAAGCCGATGAAGCAGTACGTCGAACAACTTGATGCAGAAAAGAAGGAGAAAAAAAAAGCTTGCTTTCCACGGTCCATCTCTCGAGTCCGAGTCAAGAGATGAAGCTTTCCACGGGGAAGGGCACAGGCGAAAGAATACAGAAAGGGATCAAGACGGGAGCGGGAAAGAGACAGCAAGGACTGAGGGACCCCCTTTCTCGTGGTATTGCAGGCAAATCTGAACAAAGTGTGAAGGAAGACGAAGTCAAGTCAAGTAGAAGTTCAGTCAAGCTGGTTGTGCTCTTTCTCTGGTCAAGACAGCCAGCCAGCCGCCTGGTATCCGCTTGGGAACCAACCCAGGGTCAAACGACGGGGCCAACTGAGACGCGAATGATGCTAAAGTCATAGTACTTGCAAGGACACTTGGGGGCTGATGCTAGACAACGGAACAAGGCGAACGAAAAGCCAAGGATGTCCCTCCAATATGGGCGATCGTCGACGAGTCCGAGTCGGAATCTGGGAGCTCCTCGACAAAACCCTGCGGTGGCAGCTTGGGTAGACGGATAGAGGACTGCGAGGTGGAGTGGTTGTTCGTGTTGCCCTTGCTCTGGTATGAGTTTGGCCCTGGCCCTCCTTGGTTGGGGTTGGCGTATGGACCCAGATGGGAGGACTTGCCAGAGTAAGAACTCCGATCTCCATGTCGTCTTCCATACGAGTGGTGCTCTGGGCTTGACGAATGCTGTCCATATGCCCCCCGGCCAGGGGCATTGTTGGCTTGTCGTCCTTGCTGGGCGCCACTGGTGGTATCTTCACGATGCAGGTTCAAGTCACCATATTCCCGACCGTATGCATTGCGAGAATATGCTATCGAGCTTGCACTGGGACCGAACCCAGAGTTGCCGTCGTAGAAAACGTCTTCCAGATTGGCCGTTGGCGAATTGTTAAACTTGGCCCGTCCGCGGCGGCGGCGGCGAGAGGCAGATGGATTCAGGTATTCCTGTGCTAGTTCGGAGTATCCCCCCATGCGGATCTGCTCGGCGGGTGGAGGAGACGAAAGGGACGGAGGGGAGGGACGCGGTGGGCGACGGCTACTACCCAGATACTCCTGAGCGAGGCTCGATACTCCTCCCTCGTATAACTGTCGACGGAAACGTCCACCATCTAGATCGAAGGGAGCGGCAGTAGGACCGCCGCGATGAGAGCCGCTTCTTCTCTTTGGAGCACTGGTCTCGCGACGGTCCCGTTGACCGTTTGGACTGACGAGAGGGGACGAATGATAAGACGATGCTTCTTCTTTAGTACTACCATTCGAGTGCTCCTCATGGTGGCGATATTTATCATTTTGTTGCTGCAGTTGTTCATCGTCGCCGAAGGGTTGAACACCGGCCCGATCATCACAGGAAGTGACCTTGTTCGACATCCCAGATACATTACTAGAGTTGTAGCCACTGTCCTTGGTATTGGCGGTGATATGAGAACCGTCCCTGGTCCGGGCCGGGGTAAACGCGACAGATGGATTCGGCTTGACGGTTGGCTTCTTCGACGGCTGAGGCGGCAGCAAGTCGGAAGATCGAGCAGCGTTGAGTGGTCCAGGGACTGCCATCTCCTTCGGCTTCTTGTTATTCTTCTTTCCAACCTCGTCTGAATCCTCAGATGGGTTGGACGCGCTCTCCACGGTGGGCGTCTTGTATTGGTAACGTTGAGGTTCAGTTTCCGACTCGTCGGAAGAGCATGTCGAGCTGTTGTCGTCGCCCTTGGTTGAGCGGTTCTGCTTGTATGGGCTTCACATTAGCAACCAAAACCTCTTTTCTTCTCTTCAAGCCCTCCCAACCTCAATATCTGGAGTCACGACATGGATTGATACAACTTACCGACTTGCCCAGAAGGGTCTCGGTCGGGATCTCCGCCTTCCCCTGCCTCTTATCTCGACAGATCGTGCAAATGTTAGGCACGGGACCAGCCCCCGACGCCAAAGTGTGTTGGTGATGAAAATGCGAAGAACGAGCAAACCCGCAACAGGCACAGAGGTGACCATATTCCGAAACAGGGTACTTCGTGCCGGCAAAATACATCTTCAAGCAGGGTTTACACAAGTTCTTCCACGGGGCGCCGCTGATGCGCGGCTTCCGCTCGACCTGATGCTTCGTCGCGCGTCGGATGCCGCACCCGAAGCAAAAGTGGCCGTCGAGGTTCAGGCTGGACGTCACCGAGTCCCCGGACGCCTAGTCGCGAGAGACGCGCTCGTTGCCGTCATTGCTGCCGCTGCCCCCGGCATCTGTCCCGTTGACCGAGGCGACCGTCACGCTGGGAGTCGTCAGGTTCGTTCTGTGCTCGGAGGCGACCGATAAGGGTTTTCGGGGGCAGTTTGCCAGGTCTCGCGCCCAGGAAGTACCAGTAGCGGGAGCAGGAGCAGGAGCTGGAGCTATGAGATTCTCCTTGGCGACTCCTCGGATGTTGACAAAACACGCAACTCGGCGCTTCTGGCTGTAGTCCTTCTCGAACGCGAGGGTGGCTTTTCGAAACTCCGCATCCGGGATAGGTCCATGCTTGGGATTAGGTGCTGGAGTTGGATTCACGTAGACCGAGAAGGTCGCGTTGGATCGTTGATAAGCAGCTAGCTTTGGCTGACTAGCTGGTCGAGTTTGGTTTTGGGCACGCGCTTGGTATTTCGCTCGGCCTCGAGACTTGAGTGGTGAGGCAGACGGTGTCGCGAGGGTCTTTTGCTTCTTGAAAGGGCCCAAGGCTTGCTTGTTGCCCTTGGCAGAGGGGCTGACATACTGCTCCGCGTCCGAGTCTGACTCTGACTCTGAGTCGGATTCCGATTGTGAGCCACTTTCCTCGTCGTCTTCATCTGTGAGTGAGCATGACGAAGAGGTTGAAGACGAGTACTCGAGATCCGACCATGGTTCGCTCTGCTGCGAAGATGAGGGGGTAGTAGGGCGTTTGTTCCGTCCTGTAGACTTGGGTTGTCTTGGGGGAACTACACGGTTACGGCGAGAGAAGTGATCCCGATCCTCTCCTCTCGCGTAACGATGCGTTCCTTTCTTTCGGTGGACTTCAACTTGATCATCGTCCCGTCGTTTCTCGATTGCAGGCAGCCCTAGTGCCTCACTTAAATGGAGCAGTAGAGACACCTTGGGCGGTCGACGCCGGAATCCCATCTTATTTATCTCTCCAATCTCTCGAGAGATGCCTTTTAAGAGAAAATTTGGTTGAATTTTGGCTATGCCGCGTGAACCGGATGTCGGGGTTGGAAAGAACAAATAGGCAGGCTGACGATGATTCTAGCGATGACGGGTTTGATCAGAAATGTAAAACTCGTCTCGTCAAGCTGGAGTTTTGGAAGCTAAAATGGATGACAAGTGGGAGAAGATGGATGGCTAGTTGGAAGGGGATGTGCTCGGTGAAGCTCGGTGAGATAAAAATCTATGAAAATCTGAGAAGATGAGAAGTTGAGTTGGCAACAGCTCAAAAAGGAAAGTCAAGTGAGAAACGTGATGTACAGTGGAAGGAGCCCCATATGACAGTGATTTATCTATCCACTTTCCTTCCCTGTTTATTTACCTTTACTTGTAAGGCCAGGAATATTCTCACCTTGATGTTGCCCTGCTGTCACCACAGCTGTTCTCAAGATAATACATTACTATATGCATACAGCTTCCCCATCGTTCTCTGCCTTTTATATCTACCGAGAGGCCAACCCCATGTTGTGGTCCTAATCTAACCTTTTCCCAAGCTACCTAGCATAAAACACAGACGTCCCCTATCGGATCGTCCTTCGTGAAAGCTGCAACAAAGAGAATGCCAACCCTTCCTAGGACGGACTCAACCTCCCCCCCGCTGACATCTACTCAAGCCGCAGAACACGACGAGCACGTTTCTTGGTGGGCTTCTTCTTCTTCTGGCCCCTGTCAAACGCCGCCGCGGACCCATGGTCACGTCCCAGGTTGTCAAGGTCCTTGACCTTGTAGATACGGATGATCCAGTTCTCGCTCGTGAACGCTTCCTCCATCGAGTCGAGAGTCGGGCCCACGTCGGGAAGCCGCGCTTGCCGGACACGGTCCGCAGCCTTTCCGGCCGGGAAGAGCGAGCTGTAGTTGTAGTACGACATCTTGTACCTGCATTGACCCGTCCCGGTTAGAGACAAACGTTAGTTACCACAGGAGAATAGGGGACAAATAAGGGGAGTAAAAAAGAAAAAAAAGAAAAAAAAAGACAGAGGGAGGCATCTCACATCAAGCTGTTCTTCATGGCATCCGTGGCCTCATGATCAACCCGATACTCGCCACGGGCCGTGAAGAAGCTGCGCTCTTGCACTTCGTCGGGCCAGATGCCCTCGGCAATTCTGACCATCCACAGGAATTTGTTGATGTCGTCTCCAGAGTAGCCAAGAAGGCCACCAAACACCACCAGGACATATTCGACCTCGTGCTGCCGCATGATGGGATAGCTGACCTCCTCCCGAGACGCCATCGCCTTGCCCACAGTGGCAATGTGCGTATTGTTCCACGTGTTGTTGTCCACCAGCGTGGGGCGGTCCGCCATGCCGCCGATTTGGTAGCCGTAGTCCCACCAGGACATGATCTTGGCGTCTTCGTGCGTGTTCTGTCGCAGCCATTGGTACGCCTCACGGTAGTCGTCGATGATGTGCTGGCTGCCATCCGGCATGCGGCTCGCCAGGACCACCGACGGAGACGAGTACGCGTTGGACGTGACCCAGGTGCAGTGGTACACGAACAGGAGCAGGTACACGCACATGCTCCCCACCACGAGGCCCTTCGTCAACAGGCTGTAGATGCCAACGTAAGGGGACCTCGTCGCCCTGAGCCCACCCGATTTCGCCGCCTTCTTCGCGGTGGCGGCAGCGGCATCGGCACCATCGGTCTCCTGGTTCTCGAAATCCGCCGCGTTGGGGGACTCGCGTTGGAGATAGGTGTCGAGGATCTGCGAGCAAGCAATGGCCGCCGTGACGCACACAACCGGCGTGAGCGTGAGCATCAGACGAACCATGACGCCGGCAAAGTAGCTGCCGAGCAGGGCGTAGATGATGATAAAGACGTGCTCATCCCGGAGTTCCTGGAAGCAAAGATAGACGCCGGCAGGGAAAAGCCAAATGAGCATGTTCAGGTCGAAGAAGAATGCGGGCCAGGCGGTCGGCTGGTGCTCCGAAACCGAGGCGATGATGGGGATGTGGATCTTGGCGTAGCCAGTATCCCACAGGGAGTAGAAGCGCCCACCCCAGGGGGCGATGTAGCCCATGTAGGTGAGGAACACCACACCGCCGAGACCGACGCCGAAGCCCGCGGCGACAATTGTATAAAGGAAGGTCTGGAACTGGCGACCGGAAACGGCCCCTCGAACGTAGTCGATGAAGGCCAGCAGCTGCAGGAAGCCAAACATCCCTAGCGTACATTCAATTAGCTCCGCCGCAAGTGTAACAAGGACAAAGGAACAAACAAATGATCCGCTTACCTAGTGCCGGCATATGCTCGCTAGTCTTAATAGGCAGGAAGCCGACGAAGGGAATTTGCATACTAGCCAAAGTACCCAACGCGTACCATGTCGTGTAGCTGACGTAGAGCCTGGTGCTGTATCGGCCCATGCAAACCAGAACCAGGGAATGCAGAGGCAGCATGCAGGTGATGAAGGCATAGCCACCCCACGAGGCCACCATGTAGCCGTAGAAGAGGGCGCAAAGTCCTCCGTAGAGCATCGAGCCCAGCTTCAGCGCCTTCACCCAGAGGTAGAAGGTGAACACGAGCAGGAAAATGGCAATGGCCTCGTTGTCGTAGCTGCCGGCGACGGACCGGGAAATGTAACCAGGAGCGATTCCCATGAACGCCGCAGCCAGGAGGCCGGCCGAGGGGGACGTGGTCATCTCATTGGTGAGGAGGTAAGTGGCGATCGCGGTCAGACCCGAAAAGGCAGGTGCGAGAAGAACGCAAATGTTCCGGATGTCGATGGGGAGGGCGAGAGCTCGAAGGGCGTGGTAGATGACACCGCTGGTAACCATCAGACCAGGATAGAGAGTTCCTCCGGTAACCCGACCAAGAGGATGCCATGTTCGGTCGTCAAACCAATCCCAGAACTTATAGAAGCCATTGGCAACAAGATACTTCGTGGCGCGGTAGTTGAACCAAGGATCGACTGCACGCGGGTCAGTTAAGATGATGGGTGGTGAGTTCGGGAGCGGCGGCGCATCGCCAGGGGTCGAGGGACAGGAGACAACGAACATTCGTGAATAATACTCTCAAAACCTAGAAAAATGAAAGATTAATTAGCCTGTGTGCCTGCCCAGGAAACTTTTGCGACTATTGGATGAATCTGGAAGCTGTGCCAAGAAAGCACGATTGCAATGGAAAGAGTTTTAACGGCGACACGGAACGTAGAGAGAGCTCTGGAGGACCAAGACACGTACGAATGACGGAGAAAAGCCGACTGGCAACGGCCGCAGCGGCGATAAAACCGAGAATGACAACTCTCAGTAGAGTCCTCGAGTTCTTTGCACTGCCTCCGGAGAGGTGCTCCAGCGATTGGGCCGACATGTTGGCCACGGGTGTGGAATCGCAGTGCTCTGGCGTAGGTGTGAGCTTGAAAAGGGCCCTGGTTGGTGTTGGTGTTGCATGTTGCTGCTGACACTGGCGTACAAGAAGGACAGCTTGACCTTGTGGATACGGCTATATGAATATTGTGACGCAGTTGTCAGATTGGAACCGGGTTGGTACATATCATAATAGCAGAATACCCTTATCATGGAAAGTGCCAAGAAGAAAGATGGATCATGATATCTGGATGGTCTGATGCAATTGGGTCAAAAATACCGAGATCCATCCGTGACAGGATTGCGAATTCATACCCTCACTCAATGATCTATCGTCCTCAATCTTCATTGACCGGGTTGACAATTCAAAAAAATATCCCGGCACCATTCATGCCCTTCTGTTGGTGGTGCGCTACCTGCTTTGCCAATTAAGGCTATATATATATATATATTCTAGAACTCCCAAACCGCACACACAGGTCACTCGTTCACGTCGGAAACATCCACGTCTTCCAATGGCTCGTCCCTTGGTAAATCATCTAGTCGAGAGTATGTTACACATGTACATCCACGCAAAAGTAGGAAAAAGAAAAATGTCTATGCTGTGACAATCAGCCCGGGTGCCCATCCACACTCCCCCTTGCCGGCTTTTGGGAGCAAACTCCTCTATCCATGGCTTCTCGGAAAGACTACTTCGTCGAATCCGTGTGTTCCCACAGATTCTCTTCACTGTTCCAATCATCTATCCGTGGGCGTATTTCGCCGCCCATGCCATTTTTTGTTTTCTTCGATCGGGGTGCAGTATAGCATTACGGGTTCTCCTTGGCGAGGTTGTTGAAGAAGGCTTCGAGATCGAACTTCGGGTCCATAGGGTCTGTGATCACTGGAGTCCAGGTTAGTTGGCCAGAGCGTAAAGAGTAGATTAGATGAAGGCGACTGGTCACTATGGGGCCCGATAGCAACATGGACAAATCGTTCCCCAAGCGCCACCATGCCATCGCTGTCGCATTGCACATACCTCCGCTAGCAGGTTTCGCCGACTCGGCGGGGGCGTTCTTCTTAGCCCACTCCGCCTTGGCCTGGTTGATTAACTGCAGCTTGTGCTCATACTCCTTCTTGTCCACGGCGGCCCTTTGGGTCGCTGTGATCGTCCTCTGGTGGGTGAAGCCGTAGAAGATACCAGCCGCGAGGGCGGTATAGCGAAGGACCTGCGTATGTGCCATTTGGTCAGCAATTGAATCGCTTGTGGGTTTATGTGACGAGCATCGAGGCTGGATGGATCTTCTCCCAGTGGACGGGAATAAGGGAGATCGATGTTCGGCGCGGAAGTGGAGGCTGGGATTCGTGACAGGAGACACGAGCACACGAGGGGTTTTGACACGCAACATACGTTGACTCCGGTCGATGTAGACATGGCGTCGAATGCTTTGTGACGCGACTGCTTTTCCAGTAGAGCGGGGAGATAGGTGGGAGGCGCACAGGTCGGGTGTGGTTCGTCAATTGGCCCGTTGTATGGCAAATCTGCGAGTACGAAGTATAAGGACGGACCGGAGACGAGGAAGTTTTGATGAAAAGGTCGGGAGAAACCGTAGATTTTCCGCTCGCCCCGGAAACCCGGCGTCCCCATTGTGCAGATACCCGATATATGCATATTTCCCAAAAAAGTTCCATAAGGTAATCGTCATATGCCCTGATTAGAGACTACAGTTCAACTGACCATTGCCCCCCCCTGCTCAGCCGACCATTGCCCCCCTACTAGCGTAGAACTGACCTGACCTGACTATTGCTATAGCCTTTGCGTCTCGCCCGACCATTACACGCTAAGCTAACAGTAATAGTCGGGTAAGGTCAACGGGACGGGAGAGTAATAGAGGGTGGGTATTAACGCTTACTCGTGCGAAAAAATATTAACAGTTCCTAAATCGATCCTGAATTAATCTAGTATATAGTAGGATTATAGTAGGATTTAATTCTAAAAGCAGAACTAATAATTAACCGCGAAGATAGATCTCTTATTCGGATTTAATTCCGACCTTATTAACTTTAATCTGGAATCCTTTACAGACCTTTTATATTCGACGCCGAATCTGACGCTTAATCCGCCTTTCGATAGTACTAATCAACCTCTAGCTCCTAACAGTAACGGTACCGTTCCGCCTCTCGGAGGCGATAATAGTGATAGCTTTCCAAGACTTCCAATAATCGACGACGCTTTAAGGGGGGACGAGAATATTAAAGAGCCGAACCCGGAATAGGAGTAGTCCCGGTAATTTAAATAACACGTAGTAGTATAAAACACCTTAAGTAAAGTAAAGATAGTAACTAACTTCTCTATTCTTATATATAGCAATAAAATTCCGATGAAACCGGGCTCCTTCTATCCGCCGACCCTGACTAAAATAACCGCCGAGAAGTTTTTGAAAACGCTCTTTACGCTACTACGCTGTTATTCGCTGCCATGATCCCCGAATTCCCTTAAACCGTGACCGATAGTATTACCTATATTATTCCGATTATCTCTCTAGATCCGATTATCTCTCTAGATCCTAAAGACGTTAAATCGCCCTAGAAAATTATTCAGTACTATATTAAGCGAGCGTTCCCGGGTAAGGTAGTTATAAGTATAGCGTTCTCAGGAGCTATTATTACACGGTATATATTCCTTTACACCGGCGGTGTTATATATCCGTATCTTACTCCGGAACTCAGAGCCGGCTATAACAGAATTATAGAAGAGCTAGTAGAGTCGATTTCCGCTATCCGTACCCGAGTTAAAGACCTTACTCCTAGGAAGGCAGCTATTAGCTACGCCGTCGTAATCCTAAGGCGTTTCAATAAACAGCAAGCCTATAAGGGAGGGACCGCTATATACAGACTATTAATAACCGAAAACACGCACGTAATTATCCTTAGGAACGTTCGATAGATTTTTATACGCTATACTAATTACCACCAGATATAACCTGAGTATTTCTTAACGATTATCCCTCTAAGTTATAGTAACTATTATGACCTTATTATAAGGCTTATATAAGGCATCGTCTTAGTGGAGGAATTAGATAACGAATATAAGTGTTATTTATTCATAAATAATAGGAGGAGGAGAAAAAGATACAGTAAGTTACTTACTAGACCTATTCTGGATTTATTCAGGATCAATTCAGGATTTAATCTGGAATAATTTAATAGCTAACTAATAATAGACATGGTCTATTATCCCGAGCAACCCGACATTAAACGGGTACCTTATAGTGTCAAATTAAACTTCTTTATGCTAGCGAACCTAAACCAGATCCTTTAGATTATCGTAGCTTCGTATAGAATACACAGTTATATTCCGCCCCCACCTGAAAAGGTACCCCTATCTATTATACGAGGTCTTCGTGAGATTATAAGGGAGATTAGCAAGCTATATATAACGATAAGTAAGTCCTATATAAAGATTTATTTAAGTATATCCTAACTATTTTAGACTCTTTCCTTTAATCTAATACATTAGCTCGGTTTATTCGTTAGTATTAGGGATGTTCTATCACCGATATTTATATAAGCCTAGTAAATAAGGACGTCCTGAGGGAAATTATTCGAAAAGAGCACGCGAGTATATACCCATACGCTTCTGTATCACTTTCTGTGCGGTACCTTTATAATAGGTACCGCTATAAAAATAATAAAGTGAGTGTTTTTATCCTAAATAGAAACCTAAATACTAACTTTTAGAAGTATATCTAGTATATCTACGAATCCGAGAGTAGCTAGATAGTTGTTTATTTCTATTAAGCACAGGTTAATAAGTGGAGAGAGTCTTCTATAGAGTATTTTCTACTTAACGCAAATTATAAATATTTTCGAACAACGGGCTATATCGAGGTGATCTAGGGATAGTATAGTGAATAGGCGTCTAAAGGTAGTAATTCCTCTCCCTTTATATACGTTGCTAATCGCTATTATAGCTATTCCACTTATACGCGTCTTCACGAATCGTAAAACTACTAGTATATACCTGTATATATACTGAACCGTGTTTAGTATCTTTAGAGACCGGTATAATCTGGAGGTGAAATAGTAATATATCTATAGAGAGGGGCTGGTTAGAACCACTATGGACTAAGACTACTAAAATATACGAGGTATATATATATATAATTGATCCTGAATTGATCCTAAAGAGATCCAGATTCGAATCGCTGATATAACGATAATAACAGGACTTGGTACCTACCTGTAAATAGATATGGACACAGAACTACACCGGGACTAGGAGTAGCACTCACTACGCTGTATCCGTCTCTGCGAAGTATATTTTCGGCGAGGCTATAAGCGGCTTATAGGTTATAATCGAGGGCCGTACTCGAAGTATACGAGAATGATATCGTTACTGTATGCTATAAGTATCGATTAGTATAACGAACTTTACGATCTAATCACGATGAACGAGCACGAACTTGAGGGCTGGGCATGGTATAAGAGACGCCCTGTTATCCGTTCTGGTTTATATCGCCTTACCTCTTCTATACCAGCCGAAAATTAGGATAAACTACGTAGCGACACGAATATTGTTAAGATCCTGCACGAGTATTCCTATAAGTGGACTGGGCGATACGTTCCGCTTTTCCAGGTTATTACAGGGTGTAGCCAGTATAATCAGGACTAGTGCGACTAGGCTTATATTATTCGGACCGGATCAGCACGGCTATTATACCGCGATACTACGCTAGCTAGCCGGTATTAGAATGCTCTTCGCCGAAATCGTGAGTGCTTTTTATATACTAAACTATAGTTTTACTTACTAATATCTAGTAGAGCAGAAACGATAACGCCGTACCGCTTAAGAGGACGACTTTCCTAACCGTGATAGTGATAGCGGTGGTAGCGTACGTAGCCGGCGGCGGTAGCGTACTAAAAGCCCTTTTCCCGGCTCCGACTTTAGTGATAATAACGATACCCGTTCTTTCCGGAGCGTATCGTCCAGCGGTATACCACCACGCTGTACTACTTCGCGTGGTAATAGGTACGTATATATTCCTCGAATAGATCCTGAATGTATCCTGAATAGATCCGGAATTAAATCGAAAACGTTCTAGTATACTAGCAAGGGCTAAAAGGTTATAACCTGACCTATGTCGCATAGCCACATAGTCATAACCCAATCTACGTCGTGCAGTTACACAGTTATAGTCAGCAGGAGGGATACGGAATACTACTATAAGTATACGTAGTGCTATAGAGGAACTTAAGGAGCTATGGGCTAGGGCTAGGGCTTTACAGGATCAGATTAATAGAGGCGAATAGGTTTTATAATTTAGTTTATACAGCTAGTTATACACGGATTAAAAGTCTTTAGAGTTCTAGTACTTAAGTAGAATAGGTAAGTCTATATAGATAATAATTAAAGTTAGAAATATAATAGTTTAGTTTATAAAAGTAATAAAGGTATAATATAGAATTAAAGAATATATAAATAAGTTATATACTAAGTAATACAATTAATTATAAATATATAAGTCTTAGAATAGATATAATTTATCTTTAACTAGTTTAGTAAATAACTAGCTATAAGGTATTTATTAAGACTTAAAGAGTAACCTTAATCTTTAATAATAATACTCTAAAAGTATTAGAAACTAGTAAATAAACCTAAGGCTATAATTTAAATACTATAAGGTTATAATAAGATATAGATAGATGGAAATAATTAATAAAATAAAATAAGTATATTATCATAAAGCTAAAAAAGAGTAAATAAACTATATATAGCTAAATTAGCCTAAAAGGCTATATTTAGACTAAAATAGGCTAAAAAGACTATATTTAGACTAAATTAGCCTAACAAGGCCAAAATAGACTATATTATAACTGAATTAGGCTAAAAAGGATATCTTTAGACTAAAAAGGGCTAAAATAGGCTAATATATAACTAAAATAGTAATAAGGACTTCTTTAGTTATATATTTAGCTATTTTACTCTGTTATTCTATTTAATCCATAAGAGCCTATTTAGGCTATATAGTCCTTTTTATTATTATTATCAATAATCTTACTCCGCTATCCTGACTAATCTATAGAAGCCTTCCTAGGCTCAGCGGTCCTTCTCGGGTAGCTATAAAGGGGAAAACCCGGGGAAAACCTCTATATACTTCCATAGGTGGAGAAGTACTATTACGGGGCCGATATAGCCCCGGTTCTTCCCCGTTATATATCTAGATCTTACCTTTAGGCTAATAGCTAATAGGAAGTAAAGTAGACTAGTAGTTAGGTACGTTAGCTTAAGCTAATCTTTATTAGTAGAGCGGGGGGCTAAGGGGCGTTACCGCGCTTCCGCTATATAGCGGCTATAGCTTTTTAGCCTCGGTCTCCCTATATCCCTTAAGGATTATGCCTTTTATTCCTTCTATTCAGTTAATAAAAAGAGTAGGGGGGTAAGCGCTATTTACCTCCACTAGGTAGATTCCTGCTATATCCGGTAGTAGGTAGGGGGGATAAGGCTCTACCCTGTTATAAGAACTAGATAGTTAATATCCCCTAAGGCCTTTATACCTTAATCCTCCTTTTTTTCCTCCTATAATGCTGATAATTTCGTTATAGGTTTCCTCCTAATTTATTCCCGTTTATTATCCT